TCAAACAACATCAGTTTTAGTAGATGGTGTGGAATCACAGGCTCTCAATATTAAAAGGGGAGTACGGCAGGGATGCCTCTTGTCACCCCTGCTTTTTAACGTTTACTCCGAAAGAATTTTCAGAAAAGCACTTTCTGAAAAACAAGAAGGAATACTTGTGAACGGCGAAGTCATCAATAATTTGCGATATGCGGACGATACAGTACTCCTAGCTTCTAGTCAAGAAGATCTGCAAACACTACTTGATAGTGTCGTTGAGAGTTGTAGGGAGGCAGGTCTGGATCTTAACATACGGAAAACCAAAATACTTGTAATAAGTAAACAACAGCATACAAAACCGTCTATATATGTAAATAGTATCAAACTTGAGCAAGTTGATAAAATCGTTTATCTGGGACAGCAATTAAATTGTAACGTAGAAAGTCACAGCGAAATTAGATCTAGGATAGAGCAGACTAAAGCTGCTTTTAGAAGGATGTCCAAGGTGTTAAGTAACAGAGACCTAAAATTGGCATTGAGAATCCGCCTACTTCGCTGCTACGTATTCTCGGTCCTACTTTATGGTATCGAGTCCTGGACTGTGAATAAAATCGATCTAAATCGCCTTGAGGCTTTCGAAATGTGGTGCTATAGAAGAATTTTAAAAGTTTCCTGGGTGGAGAAGATTCGAAACTCCACAATACTAGAACGTCTCAGCAAGACTACTGAGATCATAAAAAGTATCAAGCAAATAAAGCTGGAATATTTCGGACATGTAATCAGAGGTCCCAAATATAGGTTGCTATATACTTTTTAATATGCATGATATTTTATACAAAATATCAGGCAAGGAAAAATAGCAGGCAAAAGCAGTCCAGTAGGTAGAAGAACCTCATGGTTGAAGAACTTGCGAGATTGGTATGGTGTTGATACAAGCTTGCTATTTAGGATGGCAGTGAATAAAATTAAGATAGCTATGATGGTAACCAACGTTCTGAAAGGACATGGTACATGAAGAAGAAGAAGAAGCTTTAGATTTAATTTTATTATTTACTGTTCATTTAAATGTGATACTTTTAAAACAAAATTAGTGCGATTTAAATGCACATAAGAAATTAAATAGTTATAGTAAAGAGTTGGTAGCTTTTTCGATTCATTATTTTGAACAGGAACGCGATAGTAAGGGCCTCATTCTATCGTTGACTGCTGTTAGGGAAGTATGTAACGTATTTTTCCTTCCAAGATTCTGAGACTTTCTTCATTAGCTTAGGGTCCCGTCCATGCTTTGCATCCATACGTTATTATAGATCTGACAATGGACTTGTAAATTTTGATTTTTGATGTCCTTGTTAAGCTTTTGTTCTTGTTTTTGTATTTATAAAATTAATATAAAGCACAACTTGATGAAGATAAACGTAATAAGCAAGTTAAAATTTTATTAACAAGACAAAGTGTGATGTAATTTCTAGGCAAACTTTGGAACTAATCCAAGGTGAAGAAGCTTCATATATTATCAATCATGAAGAAAAGTAACTTAAGAAACCTAACCGAAAGAAAATAATTTGCTACACGTGAACCAATTTCAGCAGCTTAATTATTAGCTATAGAACAAAGTGAAAAATTGAATAGATAGAGAAGAGCCTTCAAATAAAAGTTTGAAGAAAATATGTCAGAACTATACGATGGAATAGCATTGGACCAAAACGATTCTTCTTCTTCCTATGCCGTCCCCATTAACGGTGGTTAGCGACCAAATTTCTAAAATTTTCTCTGTCTTTTGCAACGTGGAATATTTCGTCTATAGTCATGTTTGTCCAATCTCGAATATTTCGCAGCCATGACTTCCTCTTTCTACATATTCCCTTTTTGCCAGCGACTCTACCCTGCATGATAACCTGCAGAAGACTATATTTATCATTCCTCAGTATGTGTCCAAGATATGCAGTCTTGCGTACTTTTATTGTTCTCAACAATGTTTTGTCTCGACCCACCCTTCTCAGCACTTCCTCATTGGTGACCCTGGTAGTCCATGGAAGTCTCAACATTCTCCGGTATATCCAAAGTTTAAAGGCTTCAAGCTCGTCCTAACCATTTGCGCTTTTAACGTCCATGTTTCTACCCCGTACAATAGTTGGGACCAGATGTAACATTCAACAAACCTCAGTCTCAGCTCCGTATTCAGATTTTTGTCACAGAACAATTGCTTGAATTTTAAGAACGCTGCCCTTGACATTTCTATTTGTACCTATCTATCTATCTCTTGGTCTGGATCTAATTCTGTGTTGATGTAAGCTCCCAGATATTTATATTTTGTCACTCTCTCTATTTGCTGTTTACCAAGGGTTAGTTGTTCATTATTTATTGGACTCCTTGATACTATCATAAATTTGGTATTCTCTGTGTTGATGTCAAATCCCATTTGACTGCATTTACTATTTATTGCATCTAGTAAAGTTTGTAGTTCTTCTATACTCTCAGCTATAATTACCATGTCTTCTGGAAATCTCATGGAGTTTACGATTTCTCCACAAATTCTTATTCCTTTTTTTCTTTTCTATAAGGCTTTTCTAAATATGACCTGTGAATACACGTTGAAAAGCGTCGGAGATAAGACGCATCCTTGCATGACCGCCCTCGCAAGCGGTAGATTATTTGTTTCTATATCGTTCACCTTTACTACTGCTTACTGGTTCCAGTATATAGCCTTAATAAACTCAATGTCTTTTTTGTCTAAATTGATGTTTTTTAATTCATGTATTAGCTTCATATGCTGCACTCGGTCAAAGGCCTCCCTAAAGTCTATGAAGCATAAATATCCACTCTTGTTATATTCCCGACATTTCTGCAAGAGTATCGTCAACGCAAATAATGCCTCTCTTGAACCGTGCCTCCTCTGAAGCCAAACTGCGTTTGATCTATCTGCTACTCACATTTATTATAGATTCGGTTTTGAACAATTTTCTTGAATCTTTAAAGGGGCTCACATTAGGCTTATCAATCAATAGTCATTACATTATTTGGGATTGTTGTCTTTTGCTGAAGTAAAAATATCTATTTAAGCCATTCCTCCGGGATGTTGCCCTCTACATATATGTGGTTGAGAATTCGGCTGAGTCTCTTAATATTACCGTCATCTAAGGCTTTTAACAGTTCAACTGGAATTTGATCAGGACCTGGTGCTTTTCCTTGTTTTGCATTCTGTAGGGCACGCATACTTCTGAGGGTAAAATTTGTAGGTATTGTTCTTCTTCATCTATATCTTGTTCATTTTTCCTCTTGTCATTGAACAAATAAATTATATATTGTTCACATACTTCCTTTATTTTGCTCTCTTCAGTAAGAATTCCTCCATTATTATCTCTTGTTATGAGTGTTCTTCTTTGTCTGGTGTTGCCTGTAAGTTCTTTCATTTTTTATGTAAGTTTGAAGTGTCATGTTTGTTACTGAGTTATTAAAGTTACTGGCATTTCTTGTTTATCCATTCTTCCTTAGCCTTTCTGATTTCATATTTGATTTTATTCTTGATGATTTTATATTTATTTCCATCTTTATTTTTGTATTTTCTCTTTTCAGTTATTAGCTCAACTATTTCCGGTGTCATCCAGTCTTTTCTAGTGGTTTTCTCTTCTTCACCTAGTACCTCTTTTCCCGCCTTTACTATGGCTTTTTCATATCAATTAATTTATTTATCTCTGCGTTAAGTTGCTGTTGGCAGTTGTCGTCTTTTAGGTGTTTGATGTTTATTTTGGTGGTTTTAACTATTTTCTCCAGTGTTCTGAGTTTATTGACATTTGCTAGTAATAGATCATGGTCCGTATCTGCATCTGCGCCTGGATAGGATTTTGCACTTTGTACTCCATTACGAAACCTTTTGTTAATCGTTATTAAATCTATTTGTTTTCTGATTATATTGTTGGTGTTATCTTTTGGAGAAGTCCACGTGTATAATATTCGTGAGGGTAGGTCGTAGTATGTATTTGTTATGACTAATTCTTTCTCCTGGCAGTACTGGACTAGTCTATCACCTCTTTCGTTTTTTTTACATAACCCAAAATTTCCTACAATATTTCCAATTTTTCCTCGACCGACTTTAGCATTAAAGTCGCCCATAATTATTTTTACCTCCTGCTTCTTTATGCTTTTTGTTAACAGCTCTAAGTCTGCGTAGAATTTTTCAACCTCAGCATCATTGCTATCAGATGTTGGAGCATACACTTGGATTAGATTTATGTTTAGAGGTTTGGCTTTCAGCTGAAGTAACATCAACATCACCAAAACGATTACAGATAAATAAATCTATTATTATTATTCGAAATGAAAAAAGCAGTGAACATATTAAAACGTAACAAGCGACCGCCACGAGAGTTAGACACCATTAGAGCAGAATTAACACAAGAGGCAAAATTAAGAAGACAATACCTTGGTGCAATAGTAGAAACCTAAATTCATCGCAGAAATAAAGCAGCAAAATCTATAGAATGGTTCACACTCTGATTTTGAGGAGAAATATGGAGACCTGGTTTACAGAGCAAGATAATTTTTTTAAAACGTCTAGAGGTATTGCAGCTTTGTTGAAATACATGTATCCAATTAAAAGGAGAGTGCCTATATTAAATAATAAATTGATATGACTTATAATTTAGTTTTCTACTATAATACACTACGAATTTTCCTATACATCCTCGTATTTTCATTTTACATATCTAGCACCTGTGCTTACAAATTTAACAACATAATTTTACTTTAAGCAAGTAATTTATGAATAATTGTTACAATTTGGCCAACTCTTTATGAATTAAACTATAATATACAAATTAGTCTAGTATTGAGGGTAAAATATTTAACAGCGGCAACGCTGCGTTTCCAGGTAACAATCGCGGGCGAGTTTGAAAACAAACGGCTATGGAAACAACTTTACCTTAGACCGCCGGCCAGACAAGCTGGCTGAGCTCTTTTCGTGGTTCTGTTTGTGTTTGTAATGTCGGAACTTTGCATCGGTTCAAAAACTTCTAGTGCCTGGTGTTTTGTTTATTCGATTTGAACTGTTTGTTGAATTTGTTGTTTTTGTGCGATTCTCAGTGCTTTTGGCAGTTTACTTTTGGGATATAGCTGTTCATTATTGGATTAATTTATTTTGTACAGGTAAATAATTTATATATGCAGATCGTATCTTTAACGGGACTTTTTGTGTCGGCGGTTGATTCTTAAGTTTTATACTTTGAATACATATCTTATTATGTACTTTACATAAATTATTGATAGTAGATATCCATTTCTGGCATTTGTTTGTATTGTAACTAACACACTTTCAGTTGTAAATTAAAGGGTAATTGAAGACAGAGATGCCTGAAATGTTTTTCAAAATTGTGTTGTAAGTCCTTTTTATGAGTTAAAACTTTTCTGGCATGTTAAATTTACCTTAAAATTAATAATAACTATTTATCAGGCTTATCTAGGATCTAAGAACATATAAAATTTGAGTTATAAGTGCAGGAAATGTTACTACAATCCTAAAAGTCCTGTTTTTAAATCAGGCTCAATAGAGCACGCAAAAAAACCCACATTTATTTAACAATAACGTGCCAGAAAAGCAGCTAAAACGTTTATAAAGTTGGCGTTATAACGTTACATAAATTTCACTAACGCAAAAAGCGCTAATCTCAGAAATTAAAATTTTATCAATATTACAAATCTCGATCAAGTAAAGTCACTCAAGACGTTGGTTTAGCTCTTTCCTTCCATGTGTTTAACTCATTTATTTGTATCAATGTCAAAAATAAACAAATTATACTGTTACTTACTATGTACTTACTATTTACGTTTATCATAACTGATCTTATGACAGTTTTATATTATTTCTGTTTACGTTATGTTCTGTCACAGAAAATAGCACTTATCTCTTTCGATTTCATCCATCCTGTCGTAACTTTTTTTGCATGCATCTCAATCTATTTTCCCATTACTCTGTAATACCGATCCTAGACCTCTGTTTATGTCACTTAATGAGACACCCTGAAAAGTATGAAATTCTGTCTATCTTATCATTCAGGGAAATATCCAATATAAACGTGGTCCTGATAGAAGAACATCGTGGCTCAAAAATCTAAGACAATGGTATATAAAATCGACCACAACATGATATAGAGCTGCTGTCAATAAAGTCACGATAGATATGGTAGCCAACATGATATCCAACGATGAATAATGGTCGTGGAACTAGAAGAAGAAGAAATCCTCAGTAATACCTAAATAAATATGTTGTTCTTTTCGTATTAGCTTTCAGAATTTTTCTTCCTCTGCTATGACATCACTTATACCGTTTTGCCAATTGTCAGAAGAAAGATTTGATATTGAATCTATTTTTCTTCTTCCTATGCCGTCCCCATTAACGGAGGTTGGCGACCACATTTTTAAAAGTATCTCTGTCTTTTGCAACATGAAATAATTCATCTACAGTCATGTTTGTCCAGTCTCGAATATTTCGCAGCCATGAATTCCTCTTTCTACCTATTCCCTTATTGCCATCGACTCTACCCTGCATGATGGCTTGCAGAAGACATTTCTCAGTATGTGTCAAAGGTATGCAGTCTTGCGTATGTTTATTGTTCTCAACAATTTTTTATCTGGACACATCCTTCTCAGCACTTCCTCATTTGGGACTGGAAGTCCATGGCATTCTCAACATTCTTCGGTATATCCAAAGTTCAAAGGCTTCAAGTTTCTTAACTATTTGCGCTTTTAACGTTCATGTTTCTATCCCGTACAATACTTGGGATCAGGCGTTGCATTCAACAAACCTCAGTCTCAGCGCAGTATTCAGATTTTTGTCACAGAACAATTGCTTGAATTTTAAGAACGCTGCTCTTGCTATTTCTATTCGTACTCTGATCTCTTGGTCTGCATCTAGTAAAGTTTGTAGTTCTTCTATACTCTCAACCATAATTACCGTATCATCTGCAAATCTCATTGTGTTTACGATTTCTCCACCAATTCTTATTCCCTCTTTTCTTTCCCATAAGGCTTTTCTGAATATAACCAGTGAGTACACGTTGAAAAGCGTCGGAGGTAAGACGCATCCTTGCCTGACTCCTCGCGCAATCGGTATTTTATTTATTTCTATATCGTTCACCTTTACTACTGCTTTCTGGTTCCAGTATATAAACTCAATGTCTTTTTTGTCTAAACTGATGTTTTTTAAATCATCTATTAACTTCATATGCTGCACTCGGTCAAAGGACTTTCTAAAGTCTATGAAGCATACATATGCACTCTTGTTATATTCCCGATATTTCTGCAAAAGTATCGTGAAAGAAAATAATGCCTCTCTTGTAATACCCATGCCTCCTCTGAAGCCAAACTGCGTTTGATCTATCTGAATCTGAATCATTTAGTAGTTGACAAAAAGCTTCAAGTTTAAGTGTAGTATTGCTTCTCGCGAAAATTTCTTCATATAAGTCCCGGTTAGTTAAGTTTCCGATGATGAGGTGGAAGAAGTATTGGCAGACCAAGAAAAAGATAGTGCGATAATTTAAACAATTTAGGAGGCTAATATTGAAGGATAAACAGGCGTTAAAGCCTACATACTAGAAGGAAGAAGAAGAAGATATGGTAATCGCAACTCCACCTCTAAGCAACATCTTATTCTATCTTCCTATTATTCAATTCTGCCTGTTTCTCTTTCCTTGAATTGTTCCTTCACGTCATATTGTCACTCCATCTTTTCCGTGGTCGGTCCACAATTTTCTTTTGTCTATTGACTACTCTACCGTCTACCATTCTGCTTATATAATTGTTCCATTATCTCTTCCTATTCAGTATCCAGTCGCCTATCTTTTCCACCTTGCGGGGTATTCTGATTATTGTAAATCTAAAATTTGGAACAGCTGAACAATATAATTGTAAACAATAACAGGAAATATGTTAGCCGCGTCATCCACGATGCTGTAAATCAACAAAAAAATTAAAAATACATAATTTAGAAGAAACTGAAGGTAAAATTAAGGGAGATAAGTGATTGGCTCAGAATCGTCGTAAACGCAGACCTCAATAATTAGGGAAAATGAGGAGAAAAAATTGGTGGAGACCGTTCCAAAATTTGTGTCTCTGCATATAACACGTCTTAAACAGCACAGCAGGGTTAATAAAAAGACCTTTTGTGTTCTATTAAACCTTTTTTCAATGTTCTCCCCGTTTGTCCGATGTAAGTTTTTGAGCAGTACCCCCATTTAAGTTTGTATACCCCACTGTGTAAGTGCTTTTTATTTTGGCTCTTATTGTTTTTAATATATTTGCTTAACTTGTTTTTTGTTCTGAAAGCTTGCGTTATTCCTTTCTTTTTTACGTATTTGGCTATTTTTGTTGATATTACGTACTTCATTTTAAAGCTATGGTTATAAGCTTTAAAAATAATTCCGAAAAATAAAATTTTATCAATTTTGGACGAAATTTTATGTTTAAAGTATAAAATTTTGGTTTAAAAACAATCGAATTTGTTTATATAGATTTTTCGGTGATAGGAGATCAAAAAATGAAGTATTATGTTAATGAGGACTGGAGTACAATGGAAAACGAACATTTTGAGCTTAACTAAACTCATTTTAATGCAGTTTTCGCTAAAATATAATAATTTGAAATTGACCCAGCTGACTAGCACCCGGGGCGTCGTTCGAGCGCAACTGTACTCGCACTTTGTAAAATTAATATCTCTACAAAAAACTTCCGCGTGTCTCTAAATATTTCTAAACGAGAAGGGACCGTTGTTTCCAGAATAAAATAATTTATATCCACCACTTTTTTTCCTGCTTTAGATATTTACACTATATTTTGCTGCATGGCGAACCAAAAATCTAAAAACTATAGAGGGATCGCAGTGATTGCTACTATAGGCCGACTATACTCAAAAGTACTGCGAAACCTGATGGAAAATGATATTAAAAGACAAACAACCCGAAGAACAAGCGGGATTTAGGGCCGGACGCTCCACTATGGATAATAATTTTCACATTAAAAATTGCACTTGAAAAACGAATGCAGAGAAATAGAGAAACTCATATACTTAGCTTTAGTAGATTTGGAAAAAGTATATGACAATGTACCGATTTCCCAACTATGGATGGCAATGGGTAACTTGAAAATAAACCCAATTCTTATTAACGCCACTCAAAAATACTACGAACAACACCTTGCATGAATTAAAATGGGACAAGAAATCACCTCTCCTAGTCAAACAACAAAGGGTCTAAGACAAGGCTGCTGTCTGTCACCCACCTTATTTAAAATCTATTTGGACAGATCCTTAGTGAAATGGGTAAAAAAATGTAGAAACATGGGAGTAGCGGTGGAAGAAAACACGCTATATACACTTTTCTTTGCGAATGACAAGGTAGTAATTGCCGAATACAGCTACGATCTTAGCTACATGGTAAGAAAACTACAAGAAGAATATGAGGTGGCAGGTCTAAACATGAATATGACAAAATGTGAATATCTCTCAGTTGTAATGTAAGCGTAGCAAGTGAGTGAGAAGTTGAATTAAATGGTTAAGTAGCATAGAAAAGATAATAATTATTCGAGATAATTATTATATACTCCAAATCAAATAAGGGATAATTATTACAGTAAAATTTTCATTTTTAAATCCCACAAATAAATTGACCTAGTTATTGCATTGTTTGTTAATTGTTTAAACATAGAAAAGCACGTCAAACAAAAAACTGTTATTGTGATGCAATATAGGACCCACAATTCAACGAAAACACAACCTTGGACTATAACCGGTCAATGAGGACACCATTCGATAAAAACTAGAAAACGGGGACAGCCAAGTCAGTAGTCAGTCAGACAGTAGTGGTGATACGGCGGGCGTCCAGACACCAATTGCCTGCTCCGGGTACGCTCGACGCGGTAGCGTCGGGTACGAGCAGTTGGTAATGGGCAGTCAGTAATAGCGGGCCACCGTGACTGGGACGCGACAGCGTCCCGTACGCGAACGGTACGCGGGACAATCGGTGATGCTCCGGGGGCCGCGTATCATCTGGCAGAGTTCGCGTGTAGTCCGGTTATTGTGGCAGCTCGAAAGTTCGCAACCCTCAACTGACCGAGTTCCAGACGACTGAACGTGTCGTGGTTGAAGCCCTAATATA